TAATCATATGTTTTTTTGTTTATTTTTTTTACACTTTATGAATAGTATTTCTTAGGTTAAATAACAAACAAGTTTTTGGAATTGATTTTTTTTCATAAAGGTGTTTAAAATAACTCTTATTTTTGGTCTCTGGTTTAAACGCTTACACGCGTTAGTCTGTTATTATGAAATGTAAGGAAGAAGACAGACTGACGCGTGAGCGCCCAAAGCGAACGCATTCTCAGTATTGTTTATTTATAAGATCTCAATCAAAAACTGGCAAAAAAAACCAAAATTATCGTTTAACGCGCATTTTACAGGCAGTGAACCGGTCACATTGTTGAGCCTGTTGCAACGCACGCCTCTTGGTTGTACTACATTCGTTTTAATTTAAATATATAGACATATACGATGAAAAGGGCCACTTATCGACTTACGCAATTTATCAAACGAGGAAGCGCCGCACGTTTATTTCTCGATTATTTGCTTTATCTGCCGCGCATTTTTCGGCCACGAGGAGACGGTGTCACGTTGCGCAGATAATCACGTCGAGTTCTTGTCGCGATACACACGCGCGACAACAAGTATTGGATCGTGTATGCGCGTGCACATACACGCCGGGTGTGGTCCACCGACTCGGCTTGCATTATGTTTATGTTGTTTACGATGTAAGGTGACCTCCGCAAATATGTGGCCGGATCTTCTGCGGCGAGATGCGCGTGGGTGCGGCATAGGGCTTCTACCGGCCGGCGGCGCGATTTTTTTAACGAGCGGATTTTACTGTCCGCGGACGCGTGCGTCTTGTTGGAATTCTAAGTGGTTATTTCTGTTCTGAGATGTAACAGCGGGCGTTCGCGTCGATTTGCGAAGGATTCATGAAAGAATGGAACGACTTAACGACCCTCTTTGTGAACTGTATCCTTGAAGAAGACGTTGATGATAGATGAAAAGCGATGAAAAGTAGAAACGCAACACCAAATGAAAAACAAGGTGATTGATCGATGTTACGTTCTTACATTACACACAACACTCAACGTTTCAAAAAGAAAAAGCGCGACAATGAATTAAAAAGCAAAAATTCTAACAGAGAAAATGATTAATCTATTTTTAACTAGGCGCTAATCGCTTTTCTATACTTTGTTGAAATTACTATTTTATTATCTTTGATCGAGCCGACGAACATGGCAGATAATACGTAATCATATGTTGCACGATATCATTAGCATAATTTCGGAACTATTGAAATCATGGGCTTTTATAGATGCGCGGAGAAAGAAGCAAAAAAAAGAAGGAAAGGAGGCGCTCGATGCGGTGCGTTATTTTGAAGTTACTCCGAGTCCGCAGAGGGTTAAGGAAATAAGAGGTGTCTTGACCTATACGGCGCGCGGAAGGGGGAAGAAGAAGGGTGGCACGAGCACACAAGCGGAGGTAATCGAGCGTTTCTGCCGAGCGTGTTCACGGTCCCGACCATTATCTCCTCGCGCTCTTGTCTCTCCCGTTCCTTCCTTCCCGCGCATCCATACGCGCGCGATCTCTTCTCCCTCGATCTTTTATCCTTCCGCTTTTTCCTTTCCCTTTTCGTTCCTCGCGTCGACACGCGAGAACCTATTCCCTGATTATCCACGCTTTTGCGGTTATTCTCGCCTACGAGCGACCAACGCCTCCCTTCTGTTTTCTCCTACGTGCTGCTGCCGCTGCGATAGCGAGGAACGCGCTGCCGCTGGTAGCACGTAATGTTATAAAGAAGAAAACAGAGGAATCTTGGGTACGAGAGAGAATTATCTCCGCGCCGTGAGGACGAGATATTCCCGAGGATTGCGCCCACATATGGCCGGCGAGGAATCTCCGCGACGGGACGATGACCGGAAGCGTGGAACACCAGAACCACCTGAGAGGTCACGACTCGCCGTTACTTCGCTGCGATAGGCGTGTCCCGTCGGATTAATCCGCGAAACGGTGCTCGACGTAGGAGGAATGAGGAAGCGCTGCGCTTGGAAATTGACACTGCAAATGCAACTCGTCGCATCCCGTGAGAATTCCTCTGCGGAACGGGCTCCAAAGCTTCGTTCAAGTTGTGGAACAGCGAGATTCATCGACCGACTATAGAGAAAATATTCCTAGCCGATCTCGCTCCTTTAAAACATTTCGTTCTGCCTGAAAATTGGCCCTAAATTGCTAGCATCAGTGACATTGGCGCGCATTTATGCAAAACTCGGGATATGAATTAACAAGACTCATTTGCGTGCGCGCTGTTTAAAATTCAAATAAGGCAGATGTGAAAGCGTCTCAGCCTAGAACAGCCTCATATCACCGTGGAGGTTATATTTCCAGTTTATCGCGACGCTCCCTATATATTCGTATCGCGTTTTTCCCGTCAGCGCGGCATTACTTGAAAATTCTTCTCGAGTACCGGTCCGAGATTGAGCGCGATATTCCGCGGATGCTGTATCCGCCTACACGCTCCTCCGATGTTTTCAACTTTTCATCGGTGATGCGAAGTCGGCGCGATAAGAAGAAGAATGAGATATATCTCGAACAAAATTATACAAATGTATCGATCGAGAAGAAATAAATCTCATGAGGTGCAGTTTCTGTATAAAGAGAAAACACTGATGTAAAAATAGAATCCGAGAATGATAAATAATATCCGGTGCTTTCGCGCAGAAACGGGATATGCAAAATATACGCAAATCCTCTCGGATTTGCGCGCAGTCGACAGGTTGATTTCCCGCCCCAACTCTTTTATGTCATCATAATGCTCGTCCGAGAAAGGAGCGCGGGTACCACACGTCTCTCTCGTAAGTCCGGGTCATCGCAATCGGCCGGCACCGCCAAGGACGAGAGAGGGTCGTGTGATTTTACTGCGCAAGGAAAAGGATTCCTGCGAACGTCTGCGGTTTCGCGGCGCGTTGATAAAAAAGTCGCGGCAAGCGAACAATTTCGCTGAACACGAACGTGTCGCGGCCAACGTGTGTGATCAAGGCCAATCGCGGAATTACCTTATTCGTGATTGAAAAATTACCGGACGATTGATCGGATTCGATTGTGCGCTTCTGATCTTGCAACATAGTATACGTTCTTGCAGTTTCGCGAAAAGCAGTGCGATTTAAATACGAGTGAGGATGAAATATGTTTGACAATCGGAAATTTAATAACACGAGATTGCAAATATTCGCGCGCGAGAAATATTATAAGTTTAACTTTATGACTTAAAATATCGCCCAGAGATACAATATTGTGTGTCTCTATACGTTAATTAAATATAAAAGTAATTAGTTAAGTTAATTGTAATTCAATTCCTTTGAAGTTATACACGTATATAGTTGCCGTACATACAATTTATTGTAATTAACAAAGAAAGAGAGAAAGAGAGAGAGTGTTCATATTCAATTTACATACATACAAGACTGCTGCATAAATGCGCGACGTGTCTCAGTAGAACAAGCAATAAGAAGAGCGACTGGTCAGACTTTAGTTTTACTCCCCTCACATCGAGAAAATTAAAGGTCTGTTACTCTATCCCTGCTCGCAACTTATGACATGTGTGAGTCTCAGTTCGGTATGCGCTTTATTAAAACGCATACCGAAGTAAGCGAACACGCCTTGCTTAATGCAAAACAAATACGGGCGTATGTAGAAAAAAAAACGCAAAACGACGACAATGTTAAAGAGCGGGCCTGCCGGCCTTGATATTGTCTGACCGTCTCGTAGCAATTATAGTGTGTAATAACGCTGCGGCACTTATTAATAAAGGAGAGTTTTCTCGCTTGGAACACTTGAACGTATTTTTTGTAATAATCTCTTCCAACAAGTATCTATCGCGAAAGATCGAACGTATTTAATAATAATATCGATTACTGTAATTTTAGTTGTATGATTTATGGGATATTGAGAGAATCGGAACGAAAGGGCCTCGCGCAAGATTCTTATCAAAATGCGTCACAACGCAAGTGAAACTACTGAAGGTCGAGTGTAGCTCACAAAACCAGAAAAGAACCGGGGCTTACGACGACGACGACGACGACGACGACAAAGAAATTCGTACCTACGCGAGCGTCGGGATCGTTGAACGACCTCGAGTAAGTCGAACCAATTTATCTCTCTCTGAAGTGCTCGCGCTTCATTCAATTTCTGCATCCTAACAACGAGAATGTTTCATCAATTTCGTGCCAAACTGCACTTAAATGTGTTGAGGATATTTACGAGGTGCAATGAACCAAATTAAATGTTGAATTTTTTAAAACCAGTAACTAATTACGCAAATCGCATCGTGTGGAACAAATGTTTAAGTAAAGCAATATAAAAAAAACTTAAGAAATAAAAAAAAGTAAATATATCGAAAATTGGAGAAATATAAATAAAAAAATATACCATAAATAAAAAAATAATAGATAATAAATATAACGTGTAAAAATTTTTTCTAATTGTTGTAACATTTTTATACAGTTTACAAATTGTTTAAAAATTTTCTTTTGTCATATCTATTATTTGTATTTGACAAAGACTTTGAATTTCGAAAACTCGCACAAGAGAGCGATATCTCGAAGAGCGTTTCTCGTAGAAAAGTGCGTTTCTCTGGAGAGCAGAGTATCCGGTACGGCGACTTTTCTCGGCTTTTACGACGTGCTCGAACAAAACTGCCACGCCAAAGACAACTTGGTGGGCAAAGAAAAAAGCGGGGATCCCAGAATCGACGTACATGATCCGGAATCGACGGCGAACGGATCTGCTTCGTCCTTCGACAATTCCTCCTCGGGTTCCTGGTTTGAAGACGTCCCGCGCAGCTATATAAGTCAAAACCAGATCGCAAGCGAAGTGCACAGACAGTCCTTCAGCAAGGAGGTCGGCAGAGACACATCGAGTACGATGCAGACACTGGTAAGCGCGATCACTGGTCCGCCCTTTCTTTAGCTTGCGATAGTAATTTCATAAGTTATTTTTTTGTGTTTCAAAATTCTTTTTATTCTTCAGAGAGAATCACTTGTATAGTTTTTAAATGTAATAAATTAACTTTTTTATTCTATTTAATTTGTATAAGATTTCTTTATTTAATTTGTATAAGATTTCTTTATCTTGTTTATGTCTGTATTTACATGTACGAAAGTATACAAAAAATTAAAATTCAAAGAGTTCTTCTATTGTACATTTAAATGTCGTTTAATTTACTGAGAAAATTAATTGCACGAAAAACTTTTTGGATTAGAGAATATCGCGCGCTTTATCAAATAAATTACTTTTTCCTCTTCTCTTCAACGGAGATGAAAAATTTGATAAAGTTAATGTCATTTTGCGTCAACAATTTCCGCGGTCGATTATATTCTCTTGTATTCCCGTAGATTTCAATTTTCGCGATTCTCGGCGTGGCAACGGGCGCGCGGCTCACTCTGCTGCCGTACGCGTACCTGGCAGATCCACTTCCGGTGTACTATCAATCGCAGGACACTCGTACCGGCGTGCATTCATACAGCTACGCCGGCGGACCGTCCGCCAAAGAGGAAATCCGCGGTCCCGATGGAGTCACGCGCGGTTCTTACAGTTACGTAGACGCGAACGGCTTTCTGCAGTCGGTCTTCTATGTCGCGGATGAGGACGGTTTCCGCGTTGCCGCGACAAATCTGCCCTCAAACAACGGCAATCCGCCGTACGATACCAGCGATATCCTGCTAGCTAAAACGATCCAGCTGGAATCTTCCGCCGCGCGAGAAGAACGGAAAAAAGAAGAGAACCTCTTGGTAAGTCGCAGGAAGCGCAGTCTCAACGTGCCTGCCGCCGCCGCCGCCGATCAAGATCGCCAAAATCAAGCATCAGGAAATCCGAGTCCTCAGCAAGATCAGGCAAATCAAAACCTCGCGATCGCCTCGAAAAGTTCCCATAAGCTTCCAGCGCCGGAAAAAACAGCCGGCGAAGGTCGAGCCCTCGTCGCGCCTGTCTACGGACTCCTAGACTCGGTTCTGATCCCCAAGCTGATTGGCACAGCGACCTCCGAGCAGAGCCGCGTCGATGTTCACAATAACATCCGTTTAAAGGCCGTTCAACCCGTCTCTGAACCGGTGCTTCTTTCCAGTCAGGTTCTTTCGGCGAGCTCGCAGCAGCTCCAGAACAGCTTACGTGTCGACGCGCTCAAGAAAGACGCGGAAACGGTTCCATCGCAGACATCATCGCTCGCTATCGTCAACCTCGAACCGATCCCGCTCGTCTCGGTTCTGTCAGACTACAACGAGAATCGCATTCAGCTGCACAAGAATCTCGGATTGGAAGGACCGAACCGTAAAGACGCTGTGAAGATCGACGCGACGCAGTTGGCGATTGTCGAGGAGACACCGATCACAGCGGTTCCTGCGGCTTCTGCGGTTCCTGTCGTTAAGGAGACTTTTCTTCCGGTCGTCACCGCCGTCTCCAACCAAAGCAGGACGCAGATTCACAATAACGCCAAGCTCGAAGTAGCAGTTCCGGTCAAACCGACCGTATACATAGCTACTTCGTACGCTCAACCGATCGCCGCGTTGCCGATCTGGGCGCCTGTCGCTCAGTCCTCTCAGTATCGCAGTCAAATACATTCGAGCGAGAAGATTGAATTAGCGAATTAAAGAAATCAGTCAATCGCTTTTCTTATTGTCTCCTTCTCTGAATCATAATCTCTTTTGTTCCGTCACAGTCACTTCTTTTCCCGATGAATTCGATTAAGTTTTTTATAACGTAAATTTAAATCTACAAAATTTGAACATATTACAGATCAGTAGCTCTGTTTCGTAAACTATATGTCTGTCTGTGTTGCCACACGTAACTGTTAAAATTATTGTGTAATTGTATGTACGTCAGAATCTTGCTATACGTGAAGTAACAATGAAAATATTTAAATCTTTGAGAAAATTAAGATATATAATAGTTTTAAGTTGCATTCAGTCAGTCGTGCGACTCAATAATATTCAATAGAATAAGTATACACTTTTGCGCATCTTTTAACGAGAGTTCCATGACAAACTCGTTTGTGGTAGCTCGTTCTAGGGGCGCATCATTATTACTCGTTCTCGTATTCATGTTTTGTATATTCACTCTTCTATGTAACAAGCATCTTAACACCCTTGCATTAAATTATTGTATGATTGCGCGATTATCCCTCAAAACCACAACGTCAACTTTGTGTAAATTGCGCATCTTCCCTCGCGATAAAAAAACTTGAAATTGCACCTCTTGGAATCACACTCACCTTGTCGTACTGCAGCATAATAGCGAATAATAATCAAACAATTGTTAATTACGGGACGTTTCGATCATTTTTAACGTATGAGTGAGATGAACTGCTGACAAAACATACTCTTTGAAGACAAAAATTTTGCGATCATCGCGATTATGGAATTTACAGCAAAATTCTCGAAGATATTTTCTTTCTGCTGACTCTGGTGACTATTTGTTGGTCGCCGTTTTCTGCTCCGCGCAGAACGGAGCAGAAATAGCAACTTTGACTGCGGATTCCTGCAGTCGCGTATTTATTGCGGCGTTAAACTTTCGTGCACAGATATCGCGTGTCGTCGAGTAACGACAAAACTTAAATTTGCATGTCTTTATGACGGGATTTTTTCCCGACTGTCGCATGTTGAGGAAAAGCGTTTTCTGACGAGATTGTTTTTGCAAAGGCAGTGCAATGTATACGCTCAAGACACTTCGCGAGTTTTACGAGCGAGATTATTTCTCTTCAAAATATTTAAATCGATCTTTTCGCTTTTGTGTTGCCACAAAAATTAGATTATCACTTTCTTTCTCTTCAGTTATTTTCAGTTTCCGAGAAATATTATTCGTTAAATTTATGACATTGAGATCTATCCGACAGGAAAATATATATCAATTTCTACCTCAAAAAGCATTTGCGAAGGTGGCAGATTCCAAGATGGAACGCGCGAACAGAACAAACGGGCGGACTGTGACAAAGGTAGAAAGGCACAACGACGATTTGCACTCGCGATAATAGAAACGTCCAGCGACACAGCGTATATATGTACCCAGGTATAGGTATTCGCGCCGATAAAAGCGGCGCATACGTTACTTCGGGCCGGATAACTCGCGCGGGCCGCGCAGATGGTCTGTGCCCGATAAAACGACGGATAATGATTTCTGAGACGTTCGCCTGGGAGTGTGTACAACGTACACACGTACGTAAGCTTTTTCAATTATTTGCGCTTCGCCGTCACATGAGTGGCGCGATAATAGTTTACGCCCGAGATTACATTTCCGTGTGCGAATCTCAGAGCTCTAGATGCAAGCAAACTCGCATTCCCTCGAAATAGATGCGAGGAAGAAATGTATATTCGAATCACGAGACACTCCAGTAGGCTTCGAGTTGTTGAGTTTCAGACCAAGATATTTTTCGCAATAATTTTTAAAAATTTATATATTTGTAAAATAAAGACTGAAAGAACACCGTGTGTAAGATAATTTTTTATCCGTTTAGATCAGGTTCACAAAATGTTTTCACTGCGCTCTTTTGTAATAAATAATAATACACTAATGATAATAAATAAACAAAATAATAAAAAAGCGATAATAAATAAAAACTTATAATAAAATAATAATTCAACAAATGAAGAAACTTTCTAATTTTAATACGAGATATCTCTCTTGGGAATAGATCCGGACACTAATACGCCGGGATACGACTTATTACAATATTGATCGATCTTAATTGATCCCGGTTTCCCGCGGTCAACACGCGCAACCGCTCGCCCGCGCTTTCTTGTTGCGTTGAAGTCTCCTCTCTCGTGAGAGGCGAGCCGATAAAAGGCGACCCGGAGTAGCTCGGGTAATCAGCAAATGGAATCGTTAGTTAGTACCCGTAATCTTTGATCGGACGTTAGTTTCCTCCTTGTAGTACATGCTCGCATCGACGATCGTGATTCACGATCGCGTTTCGAACCACGTTAGGATTCACGCGTGCGGTCTTTATTGTCCGTGCGAGCTCGCCGGCTAATTACCATATTATTTATCGTCTTTCTGTAATTGCCTACGAATTTGCTCGCAGATGTCCGATGATTCGGCAAAATTACGACGATTTACACAAGGGAGTTTAATTTAATTTTAAAACAATCGTGCATCTATAGCGTTTTATTATCAATCTAAAAATGTTTATAATTAAAGGACTCATTAATTTATTAGATAAATATTGACAATAACGGACCACCTTCCGATCAATTTGAACTTTACATATGTTGTCAAGGACATTGTCCTGAGTAGCATGCAAAAAATTTTAGCCGTCGCTCGTTGTTTATAAAAAAGTTATAGGCAAAAAAAGTTTCATAAATAAATTTTTTTTCGACATCATGTATATTTTCTTCATGTTGTAAGTGTGTAGGCAGGGGGGGCTACGCTCCCCCGCAGAGCGTAGCCCCTTCCCCTGCTCCCCCCTCGAGAAAAAATAAAGAATTATTTTATGCAAGGTTATATATATGTAATATTCAAAAATAAAACATAAACAGAAGGTAATATGAACGCAAAACATGATAAGCTCAGGGGGAGGGGCTCCCCTGCAAGAGGCGCAGCACCCCTGCCTACAATAACTAAACACTTACAACACAAAAAAAATGTACATGGAATCGAAAACTAAAAGTTTATTTATAAAACTTTTTTTGTTGCTAACTTTTTAATAAACAACGAGCGACGGCTAAAACCTTTTGATTGTTACTCAGAGAGGTGTCCTTGACAACGTATGTCAAGCTCATTCAAATCAGAGGATAGTGACCTTTTGTAAATATTTACCGTCCGACTGAGCGCCTTCCTCGCTATAGGTACGTACTTTCACGCACACACAAGTCACTCTCTTACCTATTATCTTATTGTTTTCGAAAACTAGTGGTTCTATGCAAAAAATGCATACGACATAAATGATGTATTTTGTTAAGAGCTACAACTTTTATTTGAAACATTTTTTTGTGCTATGAATATTTATCAAAATAATGTTAAAGAAGAGATAATTTTTTAGTTTTTTTGAGTTATAACCTTGAAAATGACCTTGTCGGTGATTCTCACTATCATATTCGTAATCAGCGCACCAAAATACAGTAGTATACCAATCGACAGAAAAATCGGGTGTTTCAGGTTTTCGGAACTGTACCCTCTTATTTATTACAAGATAGCGTAGTGACAACATTTTGTCAACCTGATCTAAACGATAAAAAATTACCCAGTAAACAATTTGTTCACAATTTGCCAGCAAATTGTCAGCAATTTTAAGCAAAAATATTCAGCAAATTGGCATCTACTGTGTACGCATTAGGCTTCGATTTTGTTGCCAAAGCTTGTCGACAAAAAGTAACATCAAATTGCTACCAAAAACCGAGCAAAGCTTGATAACATAACTTGAGGCCAAATTGACGCCAAATATGAAGCAAGATCTGCGCAACACGATTTGATAGCAAAATGACATTTATAATATAAAAAAATGACTTAGATTCTTCATTTATGTTCTCGAATAAGTTTTCTTGGTTATTCTCTATGTCTTAGTATTACCTTGTAGAAAAAATCCATTGTGTTAGAAATCGTCTCGACTGGATTCGAACCTGGAATCTGGAACCCTCTAATTACCAAGCGGGCACTCTATCAATTTAGCCATTGAAACTTTCACAAACAATTACTTTAAAACTAATATGTTAATGGCATTCAGTGATATTGTTACTAATTCTAAATAAAACTATTTGTTACTAAGTAAATCAGCGAAGTTTTAACTGTTTCCTAGTAAAACTAATCTGTTACTGACACCTAACTTTAAGAGAGGCATTTTTTCACTGCAAATCAGTGATATTATCACTGAATCAATTAGTGAGATTTTAATTGATTCTATTAGGAGAATGCAGTTTGTTCATAATACTTAATCGCTTTTCATATCTGTTTAGGAAAATTCAATTATGTATTAATAAACGATAAATATTGTGTACATGCATAATCTAAGTTAAATATTTGATAATATAGAAATATTGTAAAATTATTTAAAATTAAATATTATGCAGACAATTAATTGTTGTAAAAAGTATAAATATTAAAATATTTCACATAGATGTCATTTTAATATTTATATAATTATTGTCAATTTAATATTCAAATGTAAACATAATTTTATATATATTATGTATGAAGATTTATAT